AGGACTTTTTTTTTTAATTATACCGATTATTTCCTGCACGCTCCAAAAATTTAGTCATTTAAATTCGGGACATTCTAATAATAAAATAAATTTTTAATGTTACAGATATTGAAAGATATGCATATATAGCAGAGAATGGAAAGTAACTTTTTAAAAGTAACTCGTTACAGTTGCCGTTACTTGAGAAGTAACTTTACGTTTTTTTTTCGTTACTTTTTTAAAATCGACGATCACCTATCACAGCGGAAGGGTGTCTTCTAGAGGCTTTTTCTAATTTCAAGCGCTATGAAGTGATTTGTGTCCAATCGAACCGTGTTCAATCGTGTGCAAAGTAACGATAAAAGTAACTGTAAAATTCTATTACCAAAAAAAAATGTAACATCTACGTTACTGTTACAGTTATAAAAAAGCAACGTAGTTACTAGTAAAGTTATCAAAAAAATAACTTGTAACTGTAACTTCGTTACAAGTAATGAATTACTTTTATTCCCTGATATACAGCATAATATTTTATGTAATACTTATATTTGTTTTTATTATCAGTAGAAGAGAGTGAGAAAACTGTAAATAAGTTAAAGGAAAAGTTAAATAAAGATAGTCTTTTCATCCTTTTACTATCCGATACCACCACCGAAACAAAAACGAAGAGGTATGCGGCTGTTAAGTTTTATTTATTAATTAATAAAAGTTTTGTTTAGAAGAAGTTTTGTTTATTCCAGTTATTTGACTTTAAATTACTTAATTAACTTTAAATAATTAATATATATATATATATATATATATATATATATATAATTAGGTGTTGGAATTAATTCGTAGCGTTTTACAAGTGATGGGAAGTACTTTCATTAATGTATTTTTTAATTCTCATGTGAAATAAATAACATTCTTTCATTAAAAAACGCTACGAATTAATTCCAACACCTAATATTTAATTTTTCTTTGAGATATTCGCGCGCAATTGCCTCTTCTCTACATTAAAATCATATATATATTCTTTAAATAATATGTGGTTCTATGGTCATGTGTTATAGTGATTAGCGTCTCTAGTCAGACCATCACTGAAAGAGAGGTTATTATTAATCTAATATACTGTAATAGTATCGTTCGTGCGTTTATTCGGTGTTCGCAATTCTCCTAAATATATAGAATTTTTCCGTTATTGAAAGTTGGATTCGTTGTAGTTATAAAAATAGATTAATATATTAATTTAGTTTATTTGATGAACACGAACGATACTATTACGTCTGCTTCGTGTTCAAAGATGAGGCTGAGTAATATAGAGTGCTTTTTAGTAATAAAAGATAGTCATACACTGTGTGCAGTGCAATACAGTAATATACTATGTTGACTTGTAGCTGAAATGTTGTTTAGCTTTTTTATTTCACTGCCAAAGTGAAATAAAAAAAAAAGATTTTGTAACATCTATGTTCAAATATATCCAAATCTCGATTCAAATATAATCTTAAAACTTCTTATTACAGTATCACTTCTAAAAAAATAAATGGTAATATAATGTAAAAATTTGATATTTTTGAAATAATATAAAACGAAATGACAAGCATTTTAACGTTTATGTTGTAATTGGAAAGCACAGTCTTGTACATTGTGTTACATAGTATCGTTTATGTACTTTACTGGAAAGCAAGAGAAGTAAAAAATTCTTAGTAACAATTTAATAATAAAATATTTTAGTAATTTATTAGATGTTTCAGTATTAATATAGTATTATACGCAAATAATAAAATGCTTACATGAATCTTTAGTCGAATCTAATATTAAAACTACATTCTCGGTATACATATTTTAAAATTTGTAAATATTTTTAGTTTAATAAAATTTATAAAATTTTTCATAATTTTGACTAATATTATTGGCAGTAATTCAAATGTAAAAACTGACTGCAGCTTGACGAAGAGATCTGCAAATACGGAAGATGAGGATGGGCGATATTGTCCACCAAAGATATTCGATCTTTGTAACAGGATGAGAAGGGGTGTAGGAAACGAAATATTGTAGAGAATAATGCAACCGGGTTTATTACACTCTGGAAGACAATATCCTCTCGCATTGTCTCCAAGAATCCGAATATTCCATTTGATATTGATCAAATTTATATCGATCGAATATATGTACAATTGAATAGTTTTATACATGCGACATGAATTTAATTCTCTTTACGGTAAATATTAATAATAACGGAAGTAGCTCCGATAATATGTTGTCAAGGTCATGATCCTGAATAATCTCTAACAGATTTTAGCCGTCGCTCGTCCTTCGTTAAAAAGTTATTAACAAAAAAGTTTGAAAAAATAATGTTTTATTTTTGCTAAATATAATATTGAAAAATATCAGTAAATGACAATAATGTGAAATGAACACTGAATATCTATGTAGAATTATCTAACGATTCTAACAGATAATTCGCTTATTATTTCAAAAAAATGTTCAATACGTTTGTCAGAAGTACCCACCAAAACAAATGAACAATATAATCATATGAAATAGTACATTGGGTCAGGGAGGAGAGGGGGGTGAGAGTCGAAGGTGAGAGTCGTGCGCCCCTTTGCAGGGGGATGAGGGAGAGTACATTTGTCTTTACTTTCAGATAGATCTACGAAATTAGACAATTCTTTTATGCATTTATTTATTATTACGTAAAAAGCAATATTTGCTATCTTTCTATTTTTTAAGCAATACAATACGGAAGAAGATTATGGTCCAGTATTCATAGGTGATTTTCATAATTTAAGACTGCCTTAAGTACAGACTTAAGCAGTGGTAAACTAATCATAACAAAATATTAATATCTTAAAATGTTACTTATGAATATTAGCCAAGGATTAGGTACAAGTGAACGAGGAGCGCGAGTCGATTCTGAGCGTCACATAGATCAGAGCGCTTACTTATTAAGGGCAACTCCGCACAATAAAAGAAACAGGGAACAGAGAACAGAGAATAAGAATTTCAATTATCAGAAATCATGTATTGTGGAATACACAGATAGGTTTCTGATAGATTGAAATAGGAAAACCCATAACAATAAAAGCTATAGAAGATCTTTAGTGTTTAAAAGAGTTATATCGGAGTGAACGCCTGAAAACAAGGTAATTTTGAGAATTTTTGTAATTAAATAATAAAATAAATGGAAATTCAGTTTAAGTATTTTTAATGTGCATATCATAAGCTATACAAAATAATTTTCATTTTGTTTTTTTACGTCAAGATGGCAATGCTGGAATTCTACAAGTGATACTGTTTCTTTCTCCGTAGCTTGCACCAAATAACTTTAATAATTTTTTTCCGATTTAGTTGAAATCTTTACAGTATCTGCTAAATTAAATTTAGCTTAAATTAAACTTAAACTAAACTTCTTTAAAGAAGTATACATGATTTTTACGTTCAGTTTTTTTGTTATAAATGCTTTTTTACTGAATTGTTTGAATGAAATTAAATTTTATTTTTAAATGTTTATCATATATATTTCTACAAAAATCAATACTTTAACATATTATATATGTGTGTTTCTCTAGCAAATTTAATATAAATTATAAGAAAATTTTGCTTAATGAAAGTATACAGTATTTTTGTTGCAAGCCTCGAAAGGCCATGGAAAAAAGCAGTCTTACTTGTAACTCCTGCAAAAAAATAATACAAAAATTGTTTTGTGATCGAAAATTTGGGAAACTTTGAGGGTCCACTCAAAATCACAAATGTCTGCATAATTTATATAAAATGTTAAAACTATATTATTTTTTTATCTTAATAAAATAGTGTGAAAAGCACATAATAGTAAATCAAGAGCTGCTTTGCCATGAAAACAGAGTAACGTTTACTTTTCGAAGTCTTTATATGCAAGTTTATGTATGTAAATATTCTTCCAGAATGACCGTTGACCAATTACTTTTTATTTGTCGATTACAGTCGCAATTTCTTAAATGATTATTTCGTTTTTTTGGAGAAGTCTGTATTTATGTGCAGTTGTTCAAAAAAATGTCTCTAATCTTTATTTGTCACTATATATGTTATACGTTAAAAGTTACATTTTCAACATTTTTTCTCTTTCATTTCAATATTAATCTCCTAGAATTTTGTACACGTCAAATTCGGTACTTCATTATACCAAGAAATTAGACATTTCTATGCTAACTTGATTTACTGAAAAACCACCTTAAATATAACAACAAATTATGAATATCAAAGGCTGCGGATTAAAGTATTGAATAGGTGAAAATTATATCATAAATAAATTCAAATTATTATATAAAAAGTAACGAAGCAATTATAAAATTTGTACCGTTACGAAAAAATGTAACTCCATTATCATTATATTATACAAAAAAAGTAACGCCATTATCAGAGCCCATATTCTGTACACGATATCGACAGTTGTTGGTACCGTTATGTAACGATAGCCAATGAGAATCGCTTTTTTTCTAGGATAGTTCTTGCTATTGGTTATCGTTAGTTATCGACACCGACAACTGTCGGTATAGACGTGTACAGAATATGGTAACAACGTTAAAGCCATCACACAAAATTACATAAGCTGCATAACTATAGCATAAGGTCCTCTCTATGTATACCAATGAGCATTTTACATAAATCAACATCATGTTTTTATGTTGGATGCTTATTGGTTTAGCGACCTTATGGTTATACAGATTATGTAATTTTGTGTGAATGGCCTTTACAAGTAATTAGTTTTTTCCATTGATATTTGAACATATTTATTTTGTATTAAATTAGCACAAAAATGGATAAATTGAATAAAAATGCATAGTTTAATATAAATGAAACATTAAATTTAATATAAATTTTCAATTATGTACTAATTATCCCATAAGTATTGACATATTGATAAGGAAAAATCCACAAACTAGTCGAATAAGCTAAGAAAGAAACATCTTGAAATATTTTGTACGCGAAATCTAGCATTAAGATGTGGTATGCGCAACGTATATTGAAGGAATGACAAGGATGCTTTTTGATGGTTGCAGAATCCCTGGTATGCGTAGTACGGGCGTAGGGCTCGTTCCGGGACTAGTGAAGGGATCAAAAGAGGGTCGTCTGACCGCTCTTGAGCGGTTCGAGGGCCGGTGAACACGAAAGGGCGAGCAACCACCTTGCCGACGACCAGCAACCCTCCCGTCCGTCACTGTCGACGAACAACAGAACAGGTTCGTACATATTTCTTGTAATAGAATTATGTACAACTTATTATTAATTGTATTATATTTATTTCAGAACTTATTTTGCCGATGTAAGCGAGATTTTTTATCTTTAACATATTTTTATATAATTAAAAATGCAATCTAAAACAAATTATTTTCACACTTGTGTAGGAATAAATTAATTTTAATATATCAATAACAGCGAGCACTCAACTGTTAAGTTAGCTGAACGCAGCTACTGAATAATAATGTCTAGGTTGTTACTTTTTATTTAATTATGTATATATTATTGCATGTAATTTCTTTAAATATTTACATTATTTTTATTGCTTGGAAATTGCAGTTTTTTATCTTTCACATATTCAAAAAAGCATTAATCGTGAAATTTGTAAAAAGGTTATAAAAAAAATATGAATGAAAATATTTTAGAAAAGATATTTAGATATATTATGGATATCTACATATTAATTCTTTGATTTATTGTTTTACAAACTTTAAATATGCATGCTAAGATATTGGAATATTGGATATTTGGGATGCTCTATATGTAAGATGCTCTATATATGCTTTTTATATTCTATATGTAAAATGCGTTATATGAAACAGGACAATTTTTATGAAACGCAAGGAAAAAAATTAACTTATTATTACATAAAGGATGTGAATTATGATATCGACCTGCACATGCAGCCGACATTTCACATAGCTTTGATAGTAGATCAATCATTCCTTGTGAGTGGATATTTGCGTTGGAAATT